AATATATTTATTAATGTCCAGCTTATGAATGAAATACTGGGTTCTGCCCCAAGTGAAATACCTGATATATAAGCACAAGCATACATATTATTCAAAAAGTTTTCAAAGCAAATATCTCTCATACTTTGCAGTGCAGTTGAGTATTCAGATATATGTTTGTGTGCACGCAGATTTTACAAAGTACATTATCATCATCAAGTGCCTTGCCGACTGGTATGGGCGATCATGCTTCTCCACAATCTGATCCGCAGTTGCATGTAATAGTTCGTGTGTTGACACCCTCCATGCTATGACAAAGGGCCGTCAAGAATCTTCTCGCGCTGTATTCCTCTGTCTCTCTTTCCACAAATCTTTCCAGCGGTCTTAGTAAGTTCCATTTTCCCTCTTCTCATAACATGACCAAAAAATGATGACTATCTCTTTATGAAGTTTGTGAAAAGTTGACTCCCAGTACTCACCTCTGTCAGTACATCTGGGTTGCTCTTCTTAGCTGTCCAAGGAATTCCATGGATTCGTTTGGAAAACCACATCTCCTAGGCCTCAAAATAGTGTTCAGTTTGTTTATTAATTGTCCAGGATTCACTGCCGTATGTAAAGAATGGATCTATACAGCACGCAAGTATTCTTTTCCTAACCTTCAATGACATGGATTTATTGCAAAAAATGTTCTTTATGTGATAAAATGTAATTTTGGCTTGTCCTATTCTGTTCTATATCTGTGTGATATATCTTCCATCAGATGTTATCCATGTGCCTAGATGCTTAAATTTCTGCACTTTTCCCAAAATAACACCTTTGACTTTTATTACACATTTAGGCATTATTCTTTTTTTGGAAATCACCATTACTTCTGTCTTCGAAATATTCATACTGAGACCCATTTTATCCCTTTCTGCCACCACAGTATCTATCAGTTCCTGTAGTTAACATAAACATGCCAAACAAAAATAAATTTAAAAAAACATATACCAATACAAAATAAAATAAAATAAACATTTGCATGCCTAGGAATGTATGCACACCATTCAGCCACTAAACAATCAGCAGTAAAAACTACACTACACACTGAGCTATGACACATTCAGAACATTCAGAAGCACACAGGGATGTATACCATTATGTTCTTGGTTACACACATAAGTTGAGTTTACAAATCCGAAAGTATCACTGTACAATTAATTATTCATCAGTTTATGTGAGTTCATATAAGAGCATTGGCTATGAAAGTTGTAATTCTTCTCTCTTTCTCTCTCTCTCTCTCTTGTAATTTATCCCCTAGTGGAGCATAGGCCTTCAACCAACTCATGCCAAATTGTCCTATCTTTGCTATTGTGTGCAGCTCACCTCATATCCTCCCTATCTGTTACACTTCACTTTCTAGTTCCCTTCATCATGTGTTTTTTGGTCTGCCTTTATTTCTATGCCCCTGTGGGGTCCAGTTTTAAGGAATTTTAGTTTTACTGTTCTCATGTATTCTGCATAAACAGTCAGTTGCATGACTGTTTCTGGACATTGCAAACCAGCTTCAGCTTTTAATTGCTGTTATGTGAGGGCTGACAATTTTATGTTTAATAATTCGCTAATAATTCTTCAATGGTATAATGCTCAGTGCATAACAGTCTGCTGCAAAATTGTGTGCATGGTATGTTGGAATGAGAAACTGCACTGCATTTACAACATCAAGGCCACCAAAGCCCTAATTTTGTCATCATATTTTCTTCTTCTTAGCTTTAACTGGCTGTAAAATCTGGCATAAAGTTCTGTTTGTTTCAACACTTCTGGACTTTGGTCTTATTCTAGAACTTAACCTCTGCATGCACATCCATTCCACAGATCTAGCTTATTTGCATGCAGACTGTTGGTTCCTCACCTCTTAGGCAGATGCACTTTGATCTCAAGGAAAACACTTCTAATTAGTTAACTTTTATGACATGCTTGAGAGAGGTGGGGGATTGGGGAAGAGAAGTGGGTCTATCCCCCCCCAACCCCAACAATGGGGCTTCAGAACCCACACAAGGTATATGATTCTAACTATTCTGTTCAAAGTTGTAGTCACCCTAGACTTGCCCTATCACTTAATTATGCTCTTTTGTATTAAAACTCACAACATTCTCACTTGCCTTAGTGATCACAACATATTCTAAAATACCTGTCATTCTAAAACAATATTTGATCTGTAAAGAAAGAACAGGAAAGTATACTCTATAATCAGATATACTCCATGATTAGACAAGCTCTTTTGGCTTCCAACAAAGATTTCATATATTTTTATATCAATATGTCATTTTTTAAAAGACTATTTTCAGCTTAAAAAACAGTAGCAAAATACATTATACTGGATAAGAGGGAAAGGGGTCAAGTAGTACGATGATGAGCACATAATATAAGAGACACCTTGTGTCTTGGCAACTGGCCAAGATTGTAAGGACAGACAAATTGTGGCAAACTTGGTCTCACAAACTACCATAGAAAACCGAAAGTAAAGGACCCCAAACACTGGTGGGCATTGGCCATAGGACACTAGGCTTATATATTTTTTATTGACCAATCAGTACATGGTGGGTGATTCAAGCTGCCTTTACTTCCCATTTTAGGCTGGGTCAACCTGGGACCTGAGGTAAACTGCCATGCTGAAGTTAAAAGTGTTAACTAAAAGGCACAGATATCACAGCTTCAGTGCAATCCCACATCATAAACAATGTAACCAACAGTCTCAACAGGAAAACAGAAGATGGTGGTAATAATAAACAGAAAATCAAACAAATCAGTCTGCTACATAATAAGAAACATATGTAATTGCTCATATATATAGTTTTCACATAGAATGATGAGCAAATTTTAAGATGCAAAAGAAAGAAGTAGTGACATCAGGGCACAGCAGACAACATAACAATCAAAAGCATTAGTTGCCATTAACTATGTTGCCACTAAAGATGTAACTATATCTTTCAATTATTATTTTCTGTGTGCGTCTCTTGTCTGTACTTCTTCATTCTGCACCCATGAGTGCCAGTACATTCATCAGAATTTATTTTTAGTCGTAATTATAGCTTTTGATTTCTATGATGCATGGTATGTACTTCTGTCTCTACTTCTTTATTCTGCATCTGGTCACTATATTCGTCTTCTTCTTCTCTACTTTACTACTTTTGTTACTTCATCAAAGTGTTGGGGGAAAATGTAAGCATCTAATGTGCTAATCTTAATTTCTCTAGCCCTATTCACTTCAGAGAAGCCTAAAAACTGACACTGCCAGCTGGGTACAATTCCCCATAAATGTCACTTTTCTGACTTGTCTATAGTGACCTTTTTATGAAATGCACAGGTAATACAATTGGCTCTTAACTAGGAATAGCATTGGGGGAAGGGAGCATGGGGCAGGGTCCTTTGAGTTAAATGCCTTTTTTAAAGCCAAGTTGACATCAGAGTTTGCTGTAAGCCTCAGTGATAAAGGTCCTGGGATCATGGCTTGAGCCACCTGATACACATTGTTTTTAATGCCTTGAGGTTGTGTTCCATTTTACCTGTGTGGGTTCCAGGGTCCCACTTTAGGGAAAACAAGAATAAACCCATTGCCTTTCCCCCAACAAGCATGTTGCAAGAGTTGATTAAGTGAGGGCTTCTATTTAAGTCAGCTTGCATATGCCTAAGAGGCAAGGAACCAACATTCTGCATACAAATAAGTCAGGTTGGTAATATGGATGTGCATGCAACACTCAGGTTCTGGAGCAAGACTAAAGTTCATAGGTGGACGAACAACCAGAGTTTACAGCCGGTATTCCATTTACTGCTCAACCTTTTTCGTGTTTACTGAATACTCTTTTCGTGTATCCTATAGATTAAGAAAAAAAATAATTTTTTACTGTAGATAAATATAATTGCTATGGATCTTTTAGTGCCCTGTGTAAAACAAAAAACTTTTCAATTGATTTTTTTTTCATCAATTCTAATGAAATCATGATATGTACAGTTTTTTAAAAATTGTTTCTAAGGTAAAAGGGTTAAGGCTATTGTTGATGCTGTCATTCCAGTTTATGCATGGCCTTCCCCTTGCTCTGTGTTTATTATATTTCATCACCATGGCTGTCAGTGGCAGTTGGTATGAAGGCATTCTTGTAAGATGGCCAAACCACCTTGGTTTCAGTCCTTGTCTACTTCTAATTTCTTCATTTTTAAATATTTTCTTTTATTTTCTGTTCTGTCACTTACTCCTGCAACTCCTCTAAGACGTCTCATCTCTGCTGTTATGATTCTGTGTTAATTAAATTTATTATTGGTCCATGTTTACCTCAGGAGGCTGCCGTGCCCTCATTGTTGGGGGGGGGGGGGGGGGCAGACGCGCACCCCCCCCCCCCCACAAGCATGTCGTATAAGTTGACTAAAGAGTTTTCTTTGAAGTCAGAATGCATCTGCCTGATAGGCGAAGAACCAACAGTCTACATACAAGTGAGCCAGATATGTAAAATGGATGTGCACGCAAAACTCAAGTTCTGGAACAAGACCAAAAACCAGAAGTGGATGGAAAAACCATAATTTTTTGCCAGAATTTACAAAGAGTGAATGCAAAATAGAAGAAGACACAGGAAGCATAAAGTTGGCCAAAACTTAGTTCTTATTAGATTTACTTTGCTAGGCTGAGGTAAACTTCTATGTGTTAAATTGGCGTTAGTTCAGTACTTGGTTTGCTTCAGCATATCATGTATTGTCAGTAAACTAAAATTTGTTTATCATACTATTTTCAGTGGCCTCATGGATTCCCCAGTTATTCATATTTTTAAAAGGCTCATACAGAAAAGCTTCATACAAACTATAATAATAAGTATAACAACTATTTTTATTAATCTACATCAGCGACATTTTGACAAGATTCATTATTTCATACACACTCAAGTAATATATTAGTTAAATTTAGTTGAGACTTTCTGTACACAAATAATTAATAGCAACACTATACAGTATAACAACACAGTATCAACAAAGCCAAGCCTGAGCAGTGATGGCTATTCTCCAGGATCTTGTGATGCACTGTGTTGTGGAAAAGAGGTCAGCTCTTGGTATATAAGCTCTGAGAAATAAACAAATGATACAAATTGTGAGTACTTATGTATGGTTTCTAAATTATCTTCTTCACTTCCTCTTTTACCACTTTGGGTGACAAGGATGATACAAGATTCTGCGTCTTGCTTATATGACAGTCTTAACCATAGACACACTGTAATGTTGTAGAGTTTCTCTGTGCAGCGACTGAATTGTGGTACCCAATATGGCTCATAGTCGGCTTACGTATGTGTGCAGCCAACTTATTGTGACTAAGTACTTCCATCAATGAAAAACTGCATTTCTGGTGGCAACTGTTGGCTTTGTTGCCTCTAGTAACTGCCATTTGCATTTACTGTAAGAGCATATTTCTGGATTGTGCCAGGACGTTTGTTCACCAGTTTTTAAAATGGGACAATGAGGAAAATTTCATTTGATTTTCATATCTGCAGGAATGGAGCAAGTATGGGAAAACCCGATTGCAGTAAAGCTGAGACCTTGACTAAGAGTTTCTCTGATTTTATCTTTCCATTCTTGTTTGTGGTCTACCTAAACTTTTTCATCCATCTCCTCTTTTTGTGTATGCCTTGTATGGTATGACATCACAAGCCATTCTCTCTCTCTAAGTGAGCAAACCATTTGATTTGCTGTCTTTGTATGTAATTTAGAATTGGTTTTGTGCTATGTGCAAAATTTTTCTCTTATGACCTCATTCCTAACTTTTAAAAAACCCACACTCATCTGGTCACTCCTGCAGTCACTTACAGACATCTCATTTCTATGGTTACTAATTTTCTTTTCTGGTTTGTTGTGAGTCACCATGTTTGGCACTGGAAGCATAGGGTTGAAAATAATTATGCTTTGTATGAGATGTCTGCTGTTTCGGTTTATCTTGTATTGTGAAGGGGGGGGGGGGGGGGGGGGACTAATTATAAATTATACCCTGTATAAATTATAAAATTTAGGGCTTGAAATGCTAAAAAAGAAGAAAAGGAAAAAAGATATTTAATCTAAGTGATCTTTCTTGTGTGTGGTGAAGCAGTTAAGGTGTGAGTTTCATTCTCTGAAGGTTGTGGTTTAAGTTTAGGACTTTGTCCTCTAGTTCATGAGTGCAGGTGTTTAGCAGTCCAAGGTGGATACTGCTGGAGCTGCAAGATTTCATGCTTTGCATAAGAGAGACTGAGCCATATTGGAAAAAACTGATGCAGTTCTTCTGCTTCTTCCATGTTTGCTGAGCGGTTAGCAGATTGCATTTCTGGTTTACAACAAGGCTGCAATATCTGCACCTCTCATTCTCTTTCTGCACCTGACATTCAATATGCCCCAGCCATTTCATTTAACTGGCTCTCATGATGCCAGTGATCAATGGTGATTTAAACAGATTATGAATTTCGTTGTTGCCTCTCCATTCTTTGCTCTTTGCATCTTTGATGGGTCCAAAGATTGTTTGTAAGACTGTTTTTGAAAATTTGTAATAAGCTTCATCTCTTTCAGTTGTGTTTCAAATTTCACAGCCACATAAAACTGGTCTTATCCGTGTTTTATAGATTTTGATCTTGGTGTAGCGAGATAGAGACTTTTACTTAAGCAGATGTTGAAGGGCATTGTATACTTTATTTTCAGTTTGTATTTCTTCTCTCAGCATGCTGGAGCAGTTAAAGTTTGCATCCAAGTACTTATTTGTTTCTGTTGGTTTGATTTTCATATTATCAGTTTGTATGTGGCTGGAGTTTATATCCTTTCTCTGTCTTGTTATTGCCATGTATTCTGTCTTGATTGATAACTAGTTCCACTTTGTGAGCTGTTTCCTTTAAGAGAGTCAGTGTTTTTATCGTATATTGCTTGTAAGTCTGTCAGGATATTATCATTGATAATATCCAGACAACCTAACACATGGCATTATCAAGTGGAAATCCTCATATTTTACATCCTTAATTTGAAATAACTATTTCATTCCCAGACAGTGTATGAAGTGTGATTGAACACTTCCCCTAAATGCCAGTAGATCACAATATTTGTTCAGACTTTTAATTACTTCTTTCAGGAATTAAGAAATTAGAAGAAGACTAGGAGTGAAACCAGTCAGTCATACAATTCATTAAAGAACAACAAATGAGATGGTTTGGCCACCTGCCCTGCTACCATCAACCACAGAGAGCCATGCTGAAGAAATATACTGAAAAAAGAGCAAGGGGAAGACCATGAAAGAAATGGAGCAACACAATCAGGAGCAACCTAACATAAATGAATACGACTTGTACACGGCATTGGAAAAAGCACACAAATGAACCTTACATCTTCGTCAACACGTAAATGGTGGAAGAGAAGAAGAAGAATTACTTCTTTTTACATTTTGATTAAGTTGAGTTAAACTGAGTGAAGAACCGACATCTGAGCACTCAGAAAATGTGCATAGGTACTCTGTTCTCATCTTCTGCAACTACTGAAGGGTTACAATTCTGATGGCACTAACAACAGTTTGATTATATGTCCATCTTGCCTTGTCTCTAAGTGTAGTGTCATCCTGATGCTCTGGTCTCTTCCCATCAAACATCATGCCCACACTTGAATTATTTTATTCTCAGCATCCACATTGTTCACTTGTTCCCAAAAAGCCTTGACTACATCTAGCTTGTCATGCATGTAGTCACCATTCAGTGAAGCAGCACCAGCCAGTCTGTCTGATTGTTTATTTTCCAACACACCTGGTTTGGTATGTTAAAGAAATATACCTCCCACACGGGTCACTGTTGCTGTTATTTTAGCCTCTTTGACAGCAATGTTTTCAATACTATTTTTTCTTCCATATTGGTGGCTGTGCCTCCCATTGAGCAGCTGCAGTGAACTAGTACCAAAAGAGTTATCTTAGATTTAATAATTTGAATGCTACTCAGCTAGATTTCTCACCCTGAATGTAATTAGTTAAAATTAAAAAAAAATTAATAAAGCTATTATTAACTCTATTTCAAATCCTGAATCTGAAACAGCTTATATTTCACGAATCAAACTAAAATTGTACATGCTAAAACCACAATCAACCAGTTTCAGAACTGGTGATTACCCTAAGATGAGGAACTGCAATCTGAAAATTTAATGTTATGGCAGGGCATTTGCAGATGATCTGAGAGGGAGGCACCAACAGGTAGAACGAGAAAAATGTTGTTTGGATGTGATAGCTATAACAGCATGCTTTGCTTCAAACATTTTGGTAAATGATTCCTTTGGTGTCAAAGCAAACATAAATTACAACCAAAGGTTATAATAGAAGCCCTATTTTCTATATCACACAGGAATAAATATCTACATTTGTTTGCTGTGTAAAACACTAAAGAAGGTACACATTTTACATGCAAACAGTAGCTTTGGGACTATATTTTCAAACAATTTACTGATATGTTATGTTCTCATCATCGAGGTCACACTAGGTATTTCCATGCGTGATTGATCCTCTAATGCAGAAGCAGCTCAGGGTACCTCTACTGATTTTTCTCATGAGAAGCCAGTTACAATGTCCTCTATCATGACCTCAAGAATGGCAGCAACATATTTCACCAGGCTTCACTCCTAGGTCATGTAATCATGTTAGCATAAGAGATTCATCATAATCTGGCAGCCTGATCTGTACAGCATTGATGCCATCAGCTCTGTCCATACATCTTCCTGCAAGCGGTGATGCAATACTTGTCAAAAGCAATGGTGTAAACACATAAGTTTGGAATATATATGTTAGCAGTTATGACTTTATATACTTACTTCTCCAGCCTTCAGTATTGTAACCCATTGACTCGAAAGAACTGTCAAAGATCTCAGCTGTTGGTTCATCCTCTGGGTCATGGTACTGGAGGACATATGGGTGCTGCAGAGCTTCATCAACTGAGATTCTGGTATCTGGGTCAAGGTCAAGCATTCTCTCCAAAAGATTAATGGCTGCAATATTTGCAAATAATGACATTTAAACAGAGGAAATAAAGTTTGTTTCACTGTGTGATTCAACATTTTTGGCTTTGGGGTTTTGAGCACAGTTTAATCTTTTAGAGGTCTTCACAAACCAATCCCTGCATGTGTTGACACATGATATGTCGCTTAACTTTTCCAGTCCAGCAACGCTACCTGAAAGTCTGATATCACATCCTGGATGTCAGTCCAACAGAAACATATACCCCATTCAAGCCTACATCATTTTTATCATTGAGGGGATCCCATGGCTGAACCAAGTATAACCTGGATGTAATCCTCTGTTATAAGTGGGTCGGAGCCACATAACCTTTTCCCAGACACAGACTAAAGTCTCTTCTCCTTCTTTAATTCCTTCAGTTAATAGAGGTGGTGTGGATGTGTGTGGCGAAAAGGGGAAGAGGAGGAAATATAAGAATCTTTAATATGTTCTTTCCAGTGCATTTTATAAGTTGTTTTTGGTTTTTTTAATGCTGTTCTTGATGTCGTTGCTCTATATTCTGTGTGGTTTTCATCTATTTTCGGAATTCATTATATTTCTCCAGCCTGGCTCTTTGTTGCAGCTGTCCCAGGGCATTCTTGTCAGAGAGACAAATCATACCATATTTTGTATGACTGACTTCAGTCCTAGTCTTCTTCTAATTTACTCGTTTTAATAAAATTGTGTGTAGTTCTAGGAAAATTAGCGAAAATTATTTTTTCAAGTTTCTGTTACTTGTACTTGCTTTTTTTTGTTGTTGTTGTTACTAAATCACAGGTAGCCTGTACTTTAATTCTTTCTTTCTCTGGCTGTTATTATGTTAGCTATATTTATTGGAAGGCTATTACTGTTTCAACTATTTCTTTTAAAAGAAAATTTAGGGGATCCACTATTGGGACAACAAGAATAGGCACACCGCCTCCCTTCTGTGAAGAAGAAAGAAGGACTCTTTCTATTTCCGACCATTCTTTGAACTCTTTTTGTCCCAAGAAACACTATGCCAGGCTGGTTTTTCATCTCATAAGCACATCACCTTGACACTTGTACATTTCATATTTAGCCATGGCATATTACATAAATCTGGCAATGTGTTTGTATACACAGGTGAGTGTAATTTAATGTACTGATTTATTTAGTGTAGTCTGATGTAGCTACTCACCACAAAGTGTTATGTCCTTCCCCCTCTTCTAACTGAACAAAGGTTATGAACCATATTGTGCTCTCAACATACTTTAACATACCCAGCAATGTATGCTATTCTGGGGTGTGGTTAATGTGTATTTATAAATAATAAGAGATCATTAAGACATGTCACCCACTGTGATATATATGAATTAGTTTAAGAAGTCATTCAGGGTTTAACTCTTGTACATTTAAAAAAATTGTAAACAATGTATTAGTGGCCTGTGTGAAAATATATATATGTATATTTTTTAAAGATTGGGGGGGGGGGGGAAGGGGGGGGGGGAGAATTCCCACTGGTTCATGATCCATTATTTAAAAAAAAAATTTTTTAGCATTCCCGGGGCAAAAGTGTTGTCACTTTAAAAAAATCTGACTCAAAGCAGATTCACACTTCAGGTGTTTTTGTATGTTTGGTCATAGCATACTGAAGAAATTTGTTTCCTCCTCAGTTCTTCATTTGCGAGATGGAATGACAAATTATCAATGGGAGCAGGTGGAGACAGCTTAGACATGTCTGCAAATTACGTCAATTTTAGATTTATAGTGAGAGGTAGAAGGAAGAGGTGATGTGGAAGATCTAAGAATACATTGAGAAGATCGAAGAAAAGGGACTTGCAGTGTAAACTGATACTGGATACCAATAGCAGAAAAGCATCAGACTGGCAGAAATGGAGATAATTTGTGATGCTTTATGTGTCAACAGGATCTGAAAGGGATAAAGACAGATACTAAAAATACTGGTCTGTAAAAATAAGAGAATCATAAAAATAAGTACTCAGAAATGTTTTGTTATAATGTCAAATCAGTACTCTTGTTTGGAGCTAAAACACGGAGAACAACTGAAACAATTAGTAATAAATTATAAAAATGCATTGACTGGTGCATGCACAGAATTGAAGGAATTAAATGGTATGACAGAATTACTATTGCAAAGTGTTTAAAGAACTAAACAAATTCAGTGAATCAAGAGGTGAGAAAATTACACTGTCACTGAATAGAGCATAGACTGAGAAAACCTGAGTACAGTAGCACCAAAATGTCTTTGCAAGGGATTCAAGATGGCAAAGAAATAAAAGCAGATAAAAAAAACAAACCCTAAAAAAAATGCCTAAGGGAACTAAAGAATATAAAAACAAGGGGAAGACATGGGGAGAACTTCATGCAATGGCAAAGAATAGAATGACCTGGCATGAATTAGTTATGACCTTTGCTGCACTGGGGAAAATGTGTGAAAGAAGAAGCCACAACCACAACATCCACTATGTATTTAGCCTCATTGAAAATCAAGAACTAGAAAGATTTTTCAGATTAGATAATTTTTATCTTCTGCATCTGCAAAATCTTTAGGGACTGAAAGAATTAAGGTATTTCTAGACCAGAAACCATATATACTTACCAAGTTCACTGGCACCAGCAAAGTATTTATGATAATCTTTTTTCTTTTGCTTAGGTAACGATCGAATGTAGTTCTGTGCCTGCAATGAAAGGATTGTAATTAGCTGCAAGTATGTAGGGAAACAAAAAAGTATCTAACATGTGTGATACACATGACAATATGTATATAGCATGCGTGATACACAAGACAATAAGTATCCAACATGTGTGATGCACAAGACAGTAAGTATTCAACATATGTGATGCACAAGACAGTAAGTATACTTGATGCATGAGGGATATGCAAGACAATAAGTATGCAACATGTGTGATACACATGACAATATGTATATAGAATGCGTGATACACAAGACAGTAAGTATTCAACATATGTGATGCACAAGACAATAAGTATCCAACACGTGTTTGATACAAAAAACTAAGTATCCAATATGTAAGATACACAAGACAAGAAGTCTAACATGTGTGATACACAAGAATACACACGACAATAAGTATCTAATATGTGTGATTAATAAGACAATAAGTATCCATCATGTTTGATAAACAAGACAATAAGTATCTATCATGTGTAGTAAGACAATAAGTATCCACTGTGTGTGATACACAAGACAATAAGTAATTAACATGTGCCAGACACAGGACAGTAAATATCTAACATGTGTGATACACAAGACAATAAGTATCTAACATGTGTGATATACAAGACAATAAGTATCCATCTTGTTTGATAAACAATCCAAATAATTATCCATCATGTGTGATACACAAGACAATAAGTATCCATCATGTGTGATACACAGGACAACAAGTATCCATCATGTGTAATGTACAAGACAATAAGTATCCATCATGTGTGATACACAAGACGATAGGTTTCCAACATGTGCAACATTTAAATAAGCAAGAAATGTAATGTGTGATACATGCTGAATAAAACTGTAACCAGTTAAAATATATCTTCACGTAGCCATTCATGTGTAGAGTTGTGAATTGTTTTACAAAAGAAACTTCTTCAATCCGTGTTTTAGAAAACCTATATAAGAAGGCTAGGAGCACTGACGAGGACTGGTGCACAGTTCAGGTCTCCCCATTTACTATATGGCTTTGTCTAGACTGAGGGGTGAATAGGCCAGATGGCATCTCTATCAAAGTGAACTAATTAATAAGGTGCATCAGAAGCAAACAGTTCCCATTCTTGATTTTCCCCAGATTATTTATTTGATTCATCTCCTCTAAAACATTCTAGTTATAAAAGTGTTGATGATTTAAGTTATTCTGCAGTCATATTCTGCATGCCATATTCTATGGCATGCCCATAAGTGCTCTGATCTTTTCCTAAGCTTATTCTTTTATGTATTTGATGACTTTTATTCAGTACTGGTTGAAAGTTGTGAGAACTGATTTATTTGCACCATGTTTTATCCCATATGGCTCTGTCTCTCTCCGTAGAATGGCTAGCCAAAAGCATCGCATAGAGCATAAACTCCGTACCTCCTGCAACTATCCTTAGGGATCTTTGTAAAAATTGAACTCATGAGCTGAACCTTCAGAGCAGGAAGTGAATGGCTTGACCACTTTGCCACCCACTGAGGGCTGACTGGTCTATACAAATATGAGGCTTGCGTCATATGGCATGAGGTTTACGAGTATGGAAAGACTGTTTTACTTACATGACATCATATGTTTCAAGAAGCTTAGCACATATTTTGTTTTACTTCATGTATTATATCATAATTATCAAGACTCTTGCCAACTGGCATGGATAATCATGCCTTTCAACACCTAGCAATTTACAACTACATATGTATGTTCATTTGCTGACAACCATCCATGCCACGACAAGTACCTGTAAAGAATCCTCTTGTACTGTCTTCCTTATCTCTCTTTCCACAAATCTTTACAGCTGTCACTACATGTTCCAGTTTCTTTCTTGTCATACAGTGTCCCCTCCCAAAAAAATATATAAATTTTTCTTCTAAGAAGGTTCTCACTTTGCCCAAATTGTTGCTTCAACTCTTGTGTCCTTTGGAACTATTATTACTTAAACTTTCTCAGTCTCAATCATCTGTGATTTTAAAGCATAACACTATAAACAATGCATCTTTATGTCTTTAGTTATTATTCAATGCATAAATTTAAAAAACATACATCTTTACTGGCAATTTTCTTCATGAATTCATCAGGTGGCTTTCCAACAAGATCTAGAATTTTGTTCAGCTGATCAATATCTGAAATCTGCAGTTAAAGAGAAATTCAAGTAGACAAGAATTTTTTTTGTAAATAGCATACAGTGTGATGATGGAACTAAATTATTTGCTTAATTCTGTCAGGAAATGACTGTCTGATATTATGAAACCCAGATTCACAAACTCACTGACAGTTCATAATTAGAAATTGTGATCGATGAAGGTGCACCAGCATCTTCTTTCATCATCTTTGTTTTGTTTTGTTTAGGTTGATGGTCAGCCCAATGTCTTTACTTATCCAAGTCATCCCCTTGTGGGATGCAATTTTTTGTGATTTGAAGCTACATCTTGGCTTTTGCTGGGGAACCTGAATATAGCTGCACCACAATTGTGGCCATAATGGCTGAAAGAGGTTTCTGGGACCTCTCCACGGGTGATCCTCATCCGCATGGTAGCACTTGTGTCACCTGGTGTTTATCGCTTGTGTGATGTCCTCCTGGTGGGGTACAACAAGCAAGCAAGCAAGCCCAATGTCTCTACAGGCAGCTCCTAAGCCAATTTCCAATGTGGCTATTAATTTATATATTTAAGGAAAGACTGTCTGGTATCAAGAACCCAGATATACAAATCAGTTGTCAGTCTTCAGTTCATAATTATAAATTTTGATCACTGAAATGCAGCAGCATCTGTTCCATCAAATTTATTTTGTTTAGGCTGATGATCAACCTAAAGTCCCTGCAGGCGGATGCTAAATAATCTATGAGTTGTACGTTTGGAACATGAAACTGCCTGGCTGGGTTAGGTCTTCAAATAATAACTAGTTGAGAGTTGCTTCAACAAACAGCTGTATAGAGTTGACCGTTGATAGTGAACAGGTGATAATGATACAGTAGACACAACAATGAGCTCATTCATGTTATAAATATATATAAATTTGTTAGATACACCTGGTGCAAAGGATACGATCTACTCCTTTGAACAAGGGTTTTCTTGTGATCATCTCTCCAAAGATGCAGCCAATAGACCACATGTCAACTGTAAAACATTTTAGAAAAGTAAATTAACTTGCAAATATATTTTCATTTCACAGAAAACTATAAATTAACACCATCATCATCATCAACCTACACTTTTTCTATTGGTTGTCATGACACTTTGTGGTCAAGGGTAGCACTGGGTTTTGTCACGTTTGTCTGTAATTTCATCAAGCTCTCTTCTTCTAGTGTGCCTTCTTGTTCTCACATCAGAACAATTTATGTACCTGTATTGGTAATTTTGGCTTCATTCTAATCAGATCCTTTGACTTTCTCTTCTCAGCGAATCTAGTGTATGTCCTGTTCCCACAACTGCACGATAAGTTTAATTTCTCGCTCATGGATGGGTTAAGTTGGTAGTTTCCCTCAGGCATCTCATCTTACAAGTATTAATAATAGCAGCATAATAATGTAATTTAATGTACAACTGGTTACACTTTGCTAGTATAAACATTACATTTTTGTATTCTGTATAATAGTTTATATATATATATATATATATATATATATATATATATATATATATATATATATATATATATATATATATATTGACAAAGATATTTACATAAATCAGTTCTTCTTCCATCTTTGAAAATTAATTTAAAGTATTACACATATACTGCAAAAACTATATATATTCATTGTATTTCGGCGTACATGATCATCAAAGTTCAGATTAAGTCTGTGCACATTTTTATTATGTCATTTGGCCAAGTGACTAGGTATTTATTCCTTTATTTTCATCTTCGTTCTTCCTCATTTAGGTTATTAGCAGTTACAACATCTTCAAGGTTTTGATTGCCTACATTTATTATTTTGAATCAACTTTGCTATTTTCCCCTGCTTCTTGAAGGACTGTTTCAATTTTTAGGGCCCCTTTTCTCCTTCCAAATATTCTTTTGTTCTGTTAGATACCACATTTCAGCTGCCATCACAGCACTTAACTAAACCTTGAATTACAACAGTAATTGATATAAAATCATAGATTTTCTACTTGTATTTTCTCAAACTCCCCTTTTTTTTTAAATTTTGTACTGTTGTGGCTGCTGCTGAAGTTATTTAAATGTAAAATTAATGAGTTGATCATAAATATAACCAAAGCAACAAACTTCTAAGCCTTACAATATAAAGTCAAACAAGTTTTAACCTTTTTCGTTATAATGCATCCAATTTAGTATGATTTCAGGAGCTCTGTACCACCGGCATACCACATATCCTGTCATCTCTTCTGCATTTGAACGTGCCAAACCGAAGTCCAAAATCTGCAAGTAACATTGAATGACATTATGTGCATGTCCTTAAATGTTTAGCAAGGTTGCCAGATAAGTTAACACAACCCTAGCTTAAACTGAAATCTTAGTATAGAAGAGCGCATATTAAAAAAATATGAATTTTAGCATCGGCTTTACAGAACCAAAAAAAAAAAAAATAAAACAATTTTTAAAATCTGAGGTAAAGTAAAATGCTCAAAGAGGCTCAAGATAAACATTCAGAGGAAAAAAATAAAACAATTTTTAAAATCTGAGGTAAAGTAAAATGCTCAAAGAGGCTCAAGATAAACATTCAGAGGAAAAAAATAAAATATTCGTCAGCTTTATAGAACACTGTACTAATAAATGACAGAGTAGTATGTGCTGCCTCCAAAATAAAGGATGGCTGCTGTTGCCAATGATGTCACTGGGGATATTATGTAGTGAGGTTCATAATCCCAGTCTCTTCCATGGTAAGACTCTCATTCTACTGTCCACAGACTATAAGAACAGACATTTTAAAAAAGTTAAATAAACCATCCACTGTGTAAAGTGTGAAATGCATTCATTAGGTTTTAAGTCACTTCATCAGGTGATTTCCCTTCAACACATAAACTGTGGAGAGGAATGGATTCCCTACCAAATGAATACAAGCAGTACTTTATTGTGGTTTTCATCCTGACAAAACAGTGCTGGGATTTGGCACAACCACTAGTTGATGCAGAAGTGAAAGCATTGGTGGAGGGACACATCACTGGAAGATTCTGTTATATTTACTGTGATTCTTCTGAAGCAAAATGCAATGGCTTTCACAGCAATAACCAAAGGAAAAGTCACAGAAATGAGAGTTGTTAGTCTAAAAACTCTTGGAGACACAATAAGGAGGAGATTGGAGCACTTTTTATCATGTCTTATGTGCGATGAAGATGATCTTCAAATGAACAATGAACTTTGAGCAATAAGTCACAGAGAAAAAACACAGTTTAAAATCTCATGTAAATCTGTTTGCCCAGAGTGATCAAGATGTACTTATCAAAGCAAGATGGCTTAAACTGTTATTACATAGCAGACAACTTAATTTGTAAAATTGCATGCCAGGATGTATGCCTCAAAAATATTTTGCTAGGTAATTAAACAAATCAAAGCATTGATTCCCTGTAGTAAATTTGAACAAACACGACACAAACAACAGCCTGCACATTTTAATAGCCTGACATATTTCGGTTTATCTAGTCAGATGGTTACTACAGTAACAGATGAATCAAATGTAGCAAATAAATAAATCCTTCTAAAATTGCTTTCATCCAGATTGGTGCAGGCAAAAGTTATGATTGTGAACCAGCATTTGCCCTAAGTTACTTCTAAGTGTTGACTTTGTATTTCAGTAAGAAGGATTTGTTTATTGTTCTATTCTTGGTTGTTTCAATGGCCGATTAATAAATGCTTTTTAATGTTTCCAGCTTGCAAACATATCTCTTTAAGTGTTCTTTTTGTTTGTTTTGTTTTTATCTGAAAAGGCTGGGCATCCAAATAATCACACAAGGATCAGACAGGAGTACACACTCTTCTGGTTTTTGCAGGCATCCAATCCATCCACATTCTGAAATGCACCTGGTCGGCTCAAGCTAGACTATTAGGCTATCTCGGCTCAAGCTAGACTATTAGGCTATCAGCCAGGGTTTTAACGTCATCACAAATGGGTGACCCCATAACTGCTCCATTCCTGTGCCAGTCTGTACAAAATGCCCATTTCTATCCCATGTGAAAAGTCAAACATACAGCTGTCTCTACAAAGTCCAACAGCTCGCACATGCATCAAATGCATAAGACAGCTGCCAAAGGAGCCAATATTAACATTTTGTCACATATTATAACGGAAGCAGCAGTCATGACAAAACAGCAGGTGTACACACATTAGTGCATAAGGCACACCACCAATTCTGTTATAACCTTATGCTAGAAGCAGACATCATACCTCATTCACTTTTACCCCTAGTGAAAGACATGGACTAATAATAACCTAGGTAAATAATTTACTGGATTTTTTAGAAGACAGATGCATCAACAATCAATCAGATGATGTCTCTACAATGAACGTTGGCTGCAATGAATCTCCAACATGCCCTGTATCATATCCTGGTTGTAAACTCTCTCAGGCTGTTGCCCAGCCCATCCATCACTAGAAGTTGACCTCCCATTTGTACCATTGCCCATCTCTTGCTCTCTTGCCTTCAACTTTTCCCTCCAGAATGGTTTTCAACGACAACTGATAAATTGCATGTTTATACCAACCCTCTGCTACCAATGCCAAACCTGGTCCCTAACAAGAGCACAGGAGAAAAAGATCACGACGTGCGAAATGAGATGCTTACGTAGGCTGCCAATGTCACAAGGAGAGACAGAGTTCGAAACGAGAACATTAGATCAATTGTAGGAACCACACCATGCCTGCAATACATAAAGAAGCAACAAATAGAGTGGTTTGGCCACTTGATGCGAATGCAAACCGACCAACTGCCTCTACGAGCATACAACGAACAGCACTGCTGCCCTAGAGCAAGAGGCAGACCGAGAGTACGATGGATAGACAATATATCAGAGATCCTGAGGCAACACGGACTAACAACAACACGTGCAACACACCTGGCCCAGGATAGAAAACTGCGACTCCCCACTACGCTGTGAGGCAATTGTGGACAAGACAAGACAATGGTTTTTAAAAGTGTGTTATGTCATTTAATATAGCCACATTATTTTAAATGTCTCTTGCCTATTTCTTTCAGTAATTATCTTTTCATTTGTAGTCTTTCTAGACCTCTGTATTGGACTGTTTTTGTTTCCGTGGAATATGCCCTATTCTTGTGTATACTTACATCTCCAGAGACTCAATTTGATTTTCTAGTTGCTTGTTCATTGTCCACGTTTTTGTGCCATATACCAGGACTGAGTATACGTAACATCTGAAAATTCCCTTTTTAGTGTGTAGTTTATCTCACCAGTTGTCAGCAACTTGCGCATCTTGCTGAAGACAGTTTGAGCCATTCATATTCTCTTAATGATTTCTGTTCAGCTTCTTCCACCATCTGTTACTACTAGAAGACAGATACAGGTAAACTGAAATACTATCACCTCAAACGGCAAGAAGAGAGAAATTAAACTGCTTCTAACCTTTAACTCTACATTCTGGTTGACACCAATGTTGTTGGGCTTGAGATCCTGAAAAACATATGCAGCAGAGCACAGTGTTAAACAATTTAGAATACAGAATATGACAATCATAAAATATCTAATGGAAAAAACTATCTGATAAATGCATACATTTCTATAAATAAAGATTTTGGTTGTAGAGGGAGGAATGCTAGGAATCAAGTATCTGGCAGCAAAATGTTTCTATCATCATTATCTTCTTGTAGGCAGTTATAACTCAGTTAGTTGTGGACATATTTTTAAATATATATATATTTTTTTTAAATGTTTCACTTAATGGCAGTTGAATTAGTTATAAATCAATGCATTCCTTTGTACCAACATATTTTGTAAATTCAGACAAAGAAGACGCACAAATTAGACTCATGACTAACTCTTCTTGTCTGCACAAATCCGGATGGAAATGATTAATTGTGGCCACTTTCAGACATTGACGACTGTGCCATTGGTCGACATATATATAATTCGAAATAAATACATAGATACTTACTCTGTGAATGATCCCAGCTGAGTGAATATACTGAAAGTAGAAGAAAAACATGTCATTAGACTCAGTAACCAACCATCAGTGATGATGCGTGCAACTGTGAGTGCTTTTAGTGAAAGTTAAACAATGTTTGTTCAGACAGTTAAGTCTAACATTTATTTGCTGTGAAAAAAAACAACCTATAGTTATTTGATGACGCATTTTTATTAGTTTGCAAAAAAAAAAAAAAAAAAAAAAAATCTTACTCAGGTATGTGAAAATTAGACTCAAATGTTGTTTACCGTGCCCAGTAGACATCTGGGCGTGAACTGCTTGGTTACCACTCAGTGTTAAACTGTGTTTAAGAATACATTTGTGAGCAAATATCATGATGCAAGCACGAGAAAGAAACACAATTTGGGTGTGAACACTATTCACTCCCTACGCAATTGAAACCCTATAAAAGGATAACGCTACACCAAAATATTCAGTTCATTTTCAAGCAGTCACGAATGGTGCCTCTATCGATAAATTTAAGGAATATCGATTGCTACTGATCGATGGCAGGCAGGAAAAAGTCAAAGGTTTGGTTGACAGGCATCTAAGCGTGCATCAGATCATCAGAGTATCAGCAATCGACTTTGGCACCGGTTCCACGCTACTAGTTCAGTTGAAGACCAACATCGCAAAGGACGACCCAAAGTGACAAAAGCAGTGGAGAATCACTTTATTTATCTTTGTCACCTCAGAGACAGGTTTACAACAGCTTTGGCTTTGTCACCTCAGAGACAGGTTTACAACAGCTTTCTCAGCTGCGGAGGCATTGCATCCAGGATGTCATGTGTCTAATCAAACTGTTCGGAACAGACTGCACGACGTTGGGCTTTGGGCATGACGACTACACCGAGGACCTGTACTTACGCATCCACCACCAAAATCAACTTCTTTGGGCCAACCAACAACGTCTCTGGGCAGCTGACAATCAGTGGAAATGTGTCTGGTTCAGTGACGTTTCCTTCTTTTTGTTGCAGCGTCACGATAGACAGCGTAGGGTCTACCGTAGGTGAAATGAGGATTTAGCCCAACATTGTGTTGATGTAGCTCTGCTGTATGGTGGTGGAGGTGTAATGGAATGGGGAATGATCAGTTACCAAGGAAGAAGTCAATTGATGCAAATTGAAGGAACCTTGAATGCGCAACGATACGTCAGTGAAATTTTTTGACCACATGTCCTTCAATTTTGGGATGCCAACAGACATCTTTTTCAACAGGACAATGCCAGACCCCATTCAGCACGATTGACTACGCAGTTCCTGGCTGCCAATAACATTCAAACCCTTCCCTGGCATCCTTATCTACAGACATGAGTCCCATTGAGCACATGTAGGATGAGCTGCAAAGACCTGTTTGTCACTGAGATTTTGATCACATCCAATCACTGAACCCCTCAAGAGGAGGCCACACACCATATTCACGGGAAATACTGTACGCCTAAAAATTATCATGGCCCAGATGCACCAAAAAACCTGTCAATTATTTGGTGGAACCCTAAGTTATTCTTGTGTGAAATTTATCTAAATTGCATTTTAAAGATGCAGAATGTCAGAATTGTAAATATGTAACAGTATGTATTTCAGTAGCTATGCGTTTTTTTTTTTTTTTTTTTTTTCAGTATATGCTGCCGAGAAGATTGCACAGGACAGGAAAGCATGGAAAGTCCTCTCTGAAGCCCCATGTGCCACTAGGCATAACGAGAACTGATGATGATGATATGCTGCCGAGGAATATTAGCCATAGTGTTAGACCTTTGTAATCCATGCTCCAAAACCTACATTCTCTATGCCTCAAGACCTATGTAATCTATGCCTTAAGACCCACGTACTTCATGCATCAAGACCTTTTCATTCTATGCGCCAAAACCTATGTATTCCATAACTCGAGACCTATTTACTTCATGCCTAAAGACATAGAACTCTATATCCGAAGATCTATGTATTCCATGACCTAAGACTTATGTATTCTATTCCTCAAGACCTATGCACTCTATGCCTGATAACCTTTGAACTCCATGACCCAAGACCAATGTACTCCATGACTTAAGACCAATATACTCCATGACCCAAGACCTATTTACTCCATGACCTAAGACCTATGTACTCCATGACCTAAGACCTATGTACTCCATGATCTAAGACCTATTTACTTCATGACCCAAGACCTATGTACTCCATGACCTAAGACCGATGTACTCCATGACCTAAGAACTATGTACTCTATGGCTCAAGACATATGTACTCCATGCCTCAAGACCGATGTACTTCATGACCTAAGACGTATGTACTCTATGCCTCAAGACCTATGTACTGTATGCCTCAAGATCTATGTACTCCATGACCTCAGACAAGTGTACTCTATGACCTAAGACCTATGTACTCCATGACCTAAGACCTATGTACTCCATGACCTAAGACCTATATACTTCATGACCCAAGACCTATGTACTCCATGACCTAAGAACTATGTACTCTATGCCTCAAGACATATGTACTCCATGCTCTAAGACATATGTACTCCATGCCTCAAGACCTATGTACTTCATGACCTAAGACGTATGTGCTCTATGCCTCAAGACCTATGTACTGTATGCATCAAGACCTATGTACTCCATGACCTAAGACAAATGTACTCTATGCCTCAATTCCTATGTACTCCATGACCTAAGACAAATGTACTCTATGCCTAAAGACCTATGTACTCCATGACCTAAGACATATGTACTCTATGCCTCAAGACCTATGTACCCCATGACCTAAGACATATGTACTTCATGCCTCAAGACCTGTGTACTGTATACCTCAAGACCTATGTACTCCATGACCCAAGACCTATTTACTCCATGACATAAGATCTACATATTCCTTGTTCCGAGATTTTTTTACTGCTTGACTCTAGACATGTCTTCTGAGATATTAGAGTTCATTATAAACATTGTTATATAAAGTACATGGCTAAACGGCATAAGCGAACATGCGTTATCCATATCTTGCTATCTAGGCATTCTTTTAACATAATGGGCATGCTGAGATTATATTTACATCATTTTAAAAATAGTAGCTGCGTATGAACTGTCAGCAGTCTTATGCGGTAGATTTTCACAGAATGATGTGAGCCTTTGAAATGCCGCCCCTAATGGCTTTGCGCTGTCAAATCACAAGTTTACACTGTATTTTGATGTTAGTGCTTATGCTGTTGCATCCCCCCCCCCCCCCCCCCAAATGGTGCCGCCTGATGCAGCTTGTCGCTATATCCTAGCATGACATAGCCTGTCAGCTAAAGCAGATGAATGCATAGTAGTGCAAATACTGGCAGGATAGTGACTTATCTTGATCTTAAACTGGTTTCCGGGTAGGAATGGGGAGGCCATCGTGTCTGTTGAAAGCGCACTCTGTGTTTTTTATAAGCCGATAAAGAGAACATCCGGAGAGGGCAAGAGGAAGTATTTTGTTAAAGAGACACTCTTGGTAAACACAGCATGTGTATAATATACAGTATCATATACAAACATAAAGGCTCTACTTTCCCTTTCCAAGCAGGAACTTGTCTTGGTTGACTCAAGAAAACTGACAAAAAGAAAACATTGGAAGCCTTTCTCCTTAACACACTGGTGAGCCTTGAAAAGCATAAACCTTGTTTAAGTGCTTAATAATGAACCATGGTGATTTCTATAAAACTGCATTTGTGAACTGAACATTGCGTCTGTGTTTAAAAAAAAAAACACGACCCTCAGAGATCTGGGCTTGACTGACGGCTTGGCCACTATGCTGCAGAGATAGTTAATCCATAAATTTGTAAATGAATATTTCTCACAATCTCTGAGTGTTAACATACATCAGTGGAAGGCGGGATAAATTAGCATGTCTAAGTGTTAGCAGGCAGCAATTTCACTGCAGAGGGTATCGCGTGATATTTTCCTCCTTGTCGCCTCGCTATTGAAAGTAGGCATGTGCAGCTGGCATCGTAGTATTTGGATCTGGTAGCAGTCACACGTTATACTGTTTACATTAATGGTGTAAGTACGCAACTAGCGATATTTTCTCTATGTTAGAGAACTAACCTAAGTCGCATATATATAATTAATTGTGGGCAGTAAAAATCAATAGTAGTTTGGGGCTGAGTGGTCTCGAGGCATGGGGTTCGCTTCGAGTGCTGGAGGTCCCGGGTTCATGTCCCGGTGAAGGCTGGGATTTTTTCACCTAGACTTCTAGTAATTTCCCTAGGTCTCTGGCACGGTCAAGAGCTGGCCGTGGTCTCTGGGTAGTAGGATTGGACGCCTGTGAGTACTGCTGCACACCAAAAAAATCCCCTGACAGTTGGAAATTAAAAAGAGTAGCCTGACGGCGCCGCCCGAACAAAATTTGCAGTTACAAATGTACTCAAAGTATTTCGCGGATGCATTGTGCTGAGATTCTTCAGACCCAGGCTTCAGACAGCAGAAGAACGGAGCACATATAGGTCACTACTCTTGTGCCATAGTGCTATTCTGTTGTATAAACCATATATCATAATCAGTAGTAAAATAATGCATTGTTTTCTTTTTAAAATGAAAGTGTAAGCGGCAATTACATCTGTAACATGCGCGCCTCGCCAATGGCATATTGTCATCAACAGTAAAGTTAAACAAAAAAAAAACTGGATTCAATTCAAGGTACATGTATATGGTACCATACTTGTATAGATCGACTGGTGCCCGATGGGTCTCCTAGTAAACATCAGACCGGACGATTTGCTTGTAAGAAAGTAAATTTTACCCCACCAGGACATCCACCAAGCGATAAACACCCGGTGACACGAAGTGCCATCATGCGGATGAGGATCCCCCGTGGAGATGTCCCGGAAACCCCGTTTAACCGTTAGATTATATTAGGGCGCCCGGCATCATTTAAAGTGGGGCTTTAAAATAACGACAAATTGCATTTCCCTGCCATGCTTTTTCATGTCACGAACCGTACGTAGTAGCTAGAATAGTGGTTTTACAGATTTTCAGCTAGCTTCCC